AGCAGCAGCAGCAGCAGCACATGCGACAGTTGCAGCAGCAGCAGCAGCACATGCGACAGTTGCAGCAGCAGCAGCAGCACATGCGACAGTTGTAGCAGCAGCAGCAGCACATGCGACAGTTGTAGCAGCAGCAGCAGCACATGCGACAGTTGCAGCAGCAGCAGCAGCAGCGGCGGCGGTGGCGGCGGCTGCTGCTACTGCAGCATTGTTGCCGTCAATATCATTACTAATTGTTGGTATTATTACTATTAATTATTACGATTATTAAGGCTCGAGTTGCTGCTGCTGCTGCTGCTGCTGCTGCTGCTGCTGCTGCTGCTGCTGCTGCTGCACCTGATAAGATAAACGAAGTGCGGCGACTGGAGGACTTCGCGTTCAATTTCATCTTTTCGAAGTTCAAAACTTCTCAAAAAGAGACACAAGTCCTCGCCCCACAGCTGCTGCTGCTGCTGCTGCTGCTCCTCGTCGTTGTCCTGCTGCTGCTGGCCCTCGCCTGCTGCGTCCTGCAGCAGCAGCTGCAGCTGCGGTCCTTCTGTGTCCGGCTCCGCCTTCAGTTGCTGCTGCTGCTGCTCCGGCTGCTGGCCGTCACCAGTGCTGCTGCTGCTGCTGCTGCTGCTGCTGCTGTCAGCGGTCCCTTCATGGTTGCGGTCATCGGGAGCCGCTGCATCTTGCTGCTGCCCCTCTTCCTTTTTCTCTCTTTGCTGCTGGTCCTGGAGCTTCTGCTGCTGCTGCTCTCTGTGCTGCTGCAGCAGCAGCAGCAGCGCCTCCAGGTCGTAGTGGCCGTGCTGCAGCATCCCCGGCAGCAGCAAAAGCCTGCGGAGCGCAGTCTTGAGTGTGGGGTCTTTTTCCAGCATTTCTTCGACTCTCTTTTGCTGCTGCAGCAGCTGCTGCTGCTGCTTCTTCTTCTTGGGCTGCTGCTTCTTCTGGGGCTGCTGCTGCGGCAGCAGCAGCAAAGACACGAGCGGCCGCAGCTCCTTGGTTGCTGCTGCAGTGTGCCGCAGCGCAGCAGCAGACAAGTCCGTGGGGGGGCCCCCAAAGGGGCCCCCCAAGGAGGCCCCCGTGAAACCCTGAGAGTACAGCAGCAACTCAAGGGCCTCTTCTAAAACAAATATGAAGAAACGCCGCAGCCACGAAGACACAGAAAGCTGCTGCAGCTCGTAGAGGCCTTTGAGCCGCTGGCCTGCTGCTGCTGCTGCTGCTGCCACCGGCGCGGGCGGCGGCAGCAGGTGCAGCACGCACGAGGCCAGCTGCGCCGCATCCACCTGCTGCTGCTGCTGCTGCTGCTGCTGCTGCTGCTGGGCCTCGCTGTCCACTTTGGCGGCTTCTTCCGCCGCTGCTGCTGCTGCCAGCAAGTCCGGCGCCCCAGCAGCAGCAGCAGCAGCAGCAGCAGGAGCAGCAGCAGCAGCCTCTGCGAGCTTGTCGCGCAGCCGCTGCAGCGCAGCAACGGCGCTGCTGCAGAAGACATCAAAGAGAGCCTCGAGCCTCCTGTCTGCTGCGTCTTGGTGCTGCTGCTGCTGCCAGAGGCAGCGCAGTTTGCTGCTGCTGGGCTCCCGCAGGTCTCCTGCTGTTGGCGGCCACGGCTGCAGCAGCAGCGCCTCGTCGTCGCTCTCCGCTTCGCCTTGCTGCTCCTCCTCCTTGCTGCTGCTGCTGCTGCTGCTGCTCTCGCTGCTGCTGCTCACGCTGCTGCTGCGCACTGTTTCTCGGGGCTCGCGCGCTGCCTTCGATGCGCCAGCAGCAGAGCTGCTGCTGCTGCTGCTGCTGCTGCTGCTGCTGCTGCTTGTCGCCGTCCTTCGCCTCTTTTTTGTGCTCAGAAAGGGATGCCTTCTCCTCTTCTTCTTGGCTGTGGCGCTGCTGCTGCTACTGCTGCTGCTGCTGCTGTTACTGCTGCTGTTGCTGCTGCTGCTGTCGCTCTTTGCAGTCACTTCATTCTTGGCTTTGCTTTTGGCCACGTCTTCCTGTTTTGCTGCTTCTGAGATCGATGCTGCAGCCTCATTGCTTAAGCTGCTGCTGCCCTTCCCACTACGGCTGCTGCTGCTGCTGCTGCCACTGCTGCTGCTGCTGCTGCTGTTGCCTTTGTTGCTGCTGCTCCTGCTGCTGCTGCTGCTGCTGCTTGGCTTTGCTGACGACCGCTGAGAGCCCTCTTTCGGCGTGGGCTTCTTCTGCGCCATTCTCGAAGCAATTGGTGCTGCTGTTGCTGCTGCTGCTGCTACTTTTGCCGCTGCCGTCGCTGCTGCTGCCACCGTTGCTGCTCCTGGCGCCGCGCCAGCCGTTGCTGCCGCTGCAGCTACTGTGGCAGCTGCTGCTGCTGTTCCTGCTAAACCCAAGCGCAGGCAAAATGAACAAAGACAAATGCCACAACTTCTTCTTCACGCCTCTGCTGCTCCTGCTGTTGCTGTTGCTGCTCTTGCTGCTGCTGCTGCTGCTGCCTAGGAAACCACTCCACCTACCCCGTTTGTGTGGCTATGAGAAGCTACAATTCCTAATATTGCTGCTGCTGCAGCAGTGGATACTGTTGCTGCTGCATGCAGCAGCTGCGCAGGGGAGCGGCGCCGCTGCGGCGGCAGCTGCTGCTGCTGCTGCTGCCGTTGTTGCTGCTGTCGCTGCTGCCTCTCAGGCGGCAGCAACAGTTCCTGCCTCCTGATGCTGCCGGATCCTATTTTTTCCCTCAGCAGCAGCGGCAGCAGCCCCTGCTGCTGCTGCCTCGCCCGCGCACCTCTCGCGCCTGCTGCTGCTGCAGCTGCTGTTGCTGCTGCAGCAGACAGACACCTAGTTGAGTAGGAAGATCTGACAGAAAGCGCAACAGACGCAAAAGGCGAACAACAACAGCTGCTGCTGCTGGTGCCCTTCCATGGGGGGTCGTGGGGCTGGGGCTGCAGGTGCTGGTGCTGTTGCTGGTGCTGCGGCTGCGGCTGCGTCACCTGCTGCAGCAGCAGCAGCCGCTGCTGTGGCTGCTAGTATCTTCAGCAGCGTTCTCGCTAATGGCAATAACAAATATACCATTAAAGGTTATTCGAACCTAACGAACTGGGGTTTGGTCTTGGTGACAGTCGCTGCTGTTGCAACTGTTGTGACCAGCTGCTGTTGCTGCTGTTGCTGCTGCGGCTGCGGCGCCGTCGCCAGCTCCGGCTGAAAACATAAGGCACATATTCTACGATTTAGCTTCACTTATAGCAGCAGGTTGAACAGCAGCAGCGGCTGTTGTTGTGAGTTCCGGGCGCAGACCTTTTCAGTGTTCGTTGCTCTGTGCAAGAGTTGCAGCAGCAGCAGCAGCTGTTGCGGGCTTTGCTGCAGCAGAAGCCCTCTGCGGAACCTGCTCAGAATCCACCGCATGTCGCTCTGGTGTGTCTAAGTAGCTGTTTTGCGGGTGCCCGCAGCAGCAGCATCCGCAGCAGCGGCAGCAGCTGCTGCTGCTGCTGCTTCTGCCTAGACCGCAGCCGACAGTTGCTGCTGCTGCAGCTTCAGCTGCTGCCATAAGCACGGTTTTTGCTGCTAATGACGTGTCAGCACCCCAACTACTGGCGCTGCAGAAGCAAGAGGTGCGGAATAGCAGCAAAATCTGAAGCAGCAACAGCAGCCTTGCAGCCGAAGCGCCGGCAGCAGCAGCAGCAGCAAGAAATGGATGTGAGCAGCAGCACGAGCTGCAGCAGAAGCATCAGTAGTGACGATGGCTCATCTAGTTTCTCATCTGAGGGGGAGGAGAGCGGCAGGAGGCCGGCAGCAGCAGCAGCAGCAGCAGCGCCTGTGAGGCTTCAGCAACAGCAAGCGGAGCCACTGCAGCAGCTGCAGTGGCAGCAGCTGCAGCAGCAGCAGCTGCGGCAGCAGCAGCAGAAAGCGCAGCAACAGCAACAGCAGCAGCAGAAGCAGGGCTTCTGGGCAGGCCTAGTCAGCGGCGGCACGATTTCTTTCGGCAGCGCAGCTGCTGCTGCTCCCACAGTTGTGAAAGCAGCAGCAGCGCCCGAAGCAGCAGCAGCAGCAGCAGCAGCACATAGGAAAAGGGCAACTGCTGCTGGTGGATCAGCAGCAAGAAGAACTACAAAACCTGCAGGAGCAGCAACACTTCCTGAGTCAGTAGAGAGGCTCTCCGTGCTGCTGCAGCGTTCGCAGCTGCTGCAGCAGAAACGGCAAAAGCTGCTGCTGCTGCGGCAGCAGCGTATTGCGCTAGAGAAGCAGGTGGAGAGACACCTGAGGGCAGCTGCTGCGGCGTCGGCAGAAGCAGCAGCGGCAAGCCCAGCAGCAGAAGCGACGGCCACAAGCCCAGCAGCAGCAGCGGCAGCAGCAGGAACAGAAGCAGCAGCAGCAGCAGCAGCAGCAGGAACAGAAGCAGCAGCAGCAGCAGCAGCAGCTAGCGGGTCGCGTGGAGCGGCAGCAACGAGCGCGGCGACTGAACGCGTTGAAGCGTCGACGGAGGGGGCCCGTAGCAGCAGTAGCAGCAGCCGCAGCAGCAGCGGAAGCCCCGTCAAGTGCAGCAGCAGCAGCAAAGGGAGGAGCAGCAAAACGAGCTGCAGCAGGAGCAGCGCTGCGGGCCGGCCGGAGAGCGTGGTGCTGCTGCGTCTTTCGCAGCTGTGCAGCAGCTGGCGGCGGCAGCTGCAGCAGCAGATTCGGTGTTTGGAGTCGCTGCTGCTGCGGTACCGCAGCAGCAAGCAGCGCATGGCAGCAGCAGCAGCGGAGCTGCAGCAGCAGCAGCAGGGCGTGTTCTGCCTGCGCATCGGCAGGCTGCACGAAGTGGCGCAGCTGCTGCCAATTGAGAACACAGAAAGCGGAAGAACTATTTTGTCTTTATCTCTTCCTTGCATTCCTTTAATAATTGAAACTTTGAAAGACAAAAAGACAAAAAGCGAATTCCCACTCACGCTTTCTGCTGCTGCAGGCTTTGCTGCTATGCTGCTGCTGCTCATTTCCCGCTTCACAGCCACGCCTTTGGTGCACCGCGTGGTGGCGCGTGGGGCGCGTTCGAGTGTATGTACACCTCAGGGGGAGCTGCCGCTGTACATACGCGAGGGCGCGCCGCAGGCCGCGCAGCAGCAGCTGCAGCAGGGGCTGCTGCTGCTGCTGCATGCAGTCGACGGCCTTGCAGCAGCAAGAGGACATGCAGCAAAGCCTGCATCCGAAGAAGACATCTTGCAGCGGCTAGAGGCCCTCCTCCACAACGAAATGTGGGGCTTCCAGGCGACACTCTAGCCATAGCTAGCTAGCTAGCTAGCTAGCTAGCTAGCCATAGCCAAGCCAGCCAGCCAGCCAGCCAGCTAGCTACCTAGCTAGCTAGCTGGGGCGCTGCGCCAAGAACTAGCTGCTGCAAGCGCGGCTCAGCGTGGGGCTGGCTGCCTTGGGTTATTTCGTTCATTTTTTTGTTGAAGTGGCTGGACAGAAGCAGCAAAGAAGTAGAGAAAAAGCTGAAATGCAATTTGTTGCAAAGAAATATAATTTAGAATTGCATTTAGATCTGAGCAGCAGCAACTAACGTGCCAGGTAACAGCCCCCCAGCCAAACTCCCCAGCCACGGCTGCGTACGACACTCCACAAAACAAGCTTTTGCCGGTGGCTAGCTGGCACCATTCCTGTGGCTAGCTGGCGCCATTCTTGTGGCTAGCTGGCGCCATTCTTGTGGCTAGCTGGCGCCATTCTTGTGGCTAGCTGGCGTCATTCTTGTGCCTAGCTGGGGCCAACCTGGTGGCTAGTTGGCACCATTCGTGTGGCTAGCTGGCACAGTTCTGGTGGCTAGCTGGCGCCACTCTGGTGGCTAGCTGGCACCATTATCGTGGCTAGCTAGCGCCAATCTGGCGGCTAGCTGCCGCCACTCTGGTGGCCAGCTGGGGCCACTTTGGCGGCTAGCTGGGGCCCATCTGGTGGCTTGCTGGGGCCACTTTGGTGGCTAGCTGGCATCGATCTGGTGGCTAGCTGGCGCCGATCTGGTGGCTAGCTGGCACCGATCTGGTGGCTAGCTGGCACCGATCTGGTAACTAGCTGGGCCTGCGTCTTCTTGCGTCGAAGGGAACCCCACAAGGAGTTCCCTTGGAATCGGAAGCAAACATTAGTTAGCAGAAACAGAAGAGAGACTTTAGAGGAACTTCTCCGGGCTGTCAGCTGCCGTCTGCACGCCGTCTGCTGCGCCTGCACACACAGCAGCAGCAGCAGCAGCAGCAGCAGCAGTGGAAGCTGCTAAGCAGCAAAAAACCCCATTTCCTGCTTATCTAGCCCCCTCTGCTGCTGCGTCCAACACTTTTGCTGCTGCCTATCTGTACTGACTACAAAGACATGGAAATATATATATGAACAAATGTATATATAGATATATATATATATATATATATATGCATATGCAGCACACACACACATATACAATCTATACACATTTACACATAGATATATATATATATATATAATTATATATATACCTTAATATATATATATATATATGTACACATACATTGTGCAGTATATGTAGTACACGTATATATGTAATGTCTATTACGGAAAACAAGAAAAGTATTATTCTCTATAGACTTATGCCCAAAGCAAATGCGCTCGAGAAGAGAGTCTTGTCCTCACCGCATTCAGGGGGAGGCACTTCAGCTGGCTGCAGCCAACCAGTGGCAACGTTGGTCAGCTGCAGTTACAAGCAGCAGCAGCAGCAGCAGCAGCAGCAGCAGCAGCAGCAGCAGCAGCAACCGCGCCTATGGGGTTCGTGGCCTGGATGGGTGCTGCTAATGCTGCTGCGTCACTGCACCACCGGCGCCACCATCAGGTACGGAAGCAACAGCAGCAGCCACACACGCCACAGCAGCAGCAACAGCAACAGCAGCACCAGCAGCTGCCACAACGGCAGCAGCAACAATAGCGGCGTCTGCGGCGACAGCAACAGTAGAGAGAACGGCCGTAGCAGCAGCAGCGACAAAAGCAACGCCAGCAGCGGCGACAGCAGCAACAGCAGCGACAGTAACAACAGCAGCAGCAGGTGCTGCAGCAGCAGCTGCTGCACGGGGAAAGCTCACGTAGCTGAGGCTTTCCCTGGCCTTATCAAGCACGTTGTTTCCTTCAGCTGAGTTGCTGCCGCTGCGGACGACTTGGCTAACATTTGAGAGGGAGCGGCGCGTCAGATCCCGCATGGACTGCAGCACCCCGCTGCTGCTGCGCTGCGGCTCCGGCTGCTGCTGCTGCTGCTGCTGCTGCTCCTCTTGCTCGTGCTCCTTAGAGGGGGGCGAAGCAGAGCTGCTCGTCTCTTCCTCGTCACCGCCCGCTGCGCAGCAGCCGCCAAGAACGCACCAAGCAGCTACGATTTCAGCAGCACGTACAGCAGCAAAAATAGCAGTTGCAGCAGCAGCAGCAGCAGCAGCAGCAGGATGGTGCAACCCACTGAATGTGCTGGAGAGCTTCTTCCCCTGCTGGGCAATCCATTCGCTTCCCTGTAAAATATGAAATGCAACAATGAACATCCCCTACAATGCAGCCCCCGCTACAGCAGAAGCGGCAGCAGCAGCAGCAGCAGCAAAAGCAACAAGGGCAGCAGCGGCTGCTGCTGCTGCCGCAGCCTGTCCACTTAGTCTGCCCGTAAGAAGCTGCTGAGCAGCAGCGTAGTGGCGTCTGCTACACGTGCTGCTGCTGCTGCTGCTGCTTCGAGTGCTGCGGTGTACGTACGCTCTGGAGCCCTCCCTTCGCCTTTTCTATAATGCCAGATTCTCCTGCAGCCTCAATTGTTTTTGCTGTATATTCTTTCGCTCCGGAAACAAAAGAAGAAACGTTTTGGAAAGCTGTGCCCAGTGCTGCGCCTCCCGTGCTGCTGACAGTTGCTGCTGCTGCTGCTGCCGCTGCAGAAGCAGCTGCTGCCTGCTGCTGCAGCGAAGCAATGAAACCCTCTTCCTCCTTCTCAGAGTCCTGCTGCTCCTGCTGCTGCTGCGGATTGCCAATGCCTGAGCCCAAAGAGCGAATCGAATTCGAAGAAGAATAAGGCGGAGAAGCAGCAGCAGCAGCATCTGGCTGCGCAGCTTCTTCCCGCTGGAGCGGCGGCGGCGCAGCAACAGAGGGCTCTGCAGCAGAGCGCAGCAGCGCCCTGTAGTAAGCAGCAGCTTTTGTGGCATATCTCTCCTTGAAAGGCAGGTCCCAAACGCCCTAAAGAGCAGCGCAAATGCCCGAGAAGCAGCAGCAGCAAAGGTCGGTTAGGTGCTGCAGCAGCGCCTCAGGCAGCAGCAAACGACAACGCGCTGCAGCAAATCTGATGCGAGACTTACATACTCCACGAAGAAATTCTTGCACTTGGAATTGCCCCCGCACTCCATCAGCTTCAGCTGCTGCGGCTGCCACGCGTCCATTGTGCTGCTGCGCACGAAGCTCAGGTGCACGCCGAGGCCCCTGCAGCAGAGCGCAGCAGCAGCAGCAGCAGCAGCAGCAGCAGCACCATGAACAGGCAGATCAGCAAAAGGTGCGGCGGCAGCAGCAGCAAGCCGCCTACAGAACTTGTAAATGGCTCTCTTCTCTCCAGCTTGAGGACAGTGGCGCCAGCAAAAGACGTAAATGCAGATTAATATTTATTTAACAACTGTCGATTTTATAAACATTAAATAATTATTTTTAAAACGATTTCAATGAAACTAAAGCAATGAGGAGAGCCTCTCTTGCCTGTGCAAGCCCGAGCAGTTGAGGCAGACGAAGGCGCCATAAGAAAGTGCACACCACTGGGGCTCCGGGGCATCTGCAGCAAATGCAGCAGCAAGCAGCAGCAAAGCACCACTGCAGCAGCAAGCAGAAGCAGCAGTGTCGCTGGTGAGTCGCTGCTGGCTCAGCAGCGCCAGGACAAGCACGAAGGAGCTGCTGCAATTGCCTAAGCCTTGGAATGTGGCAGCAAAAGGGGCTTGAATGTGCAGCAGAAGGGCTTGGGGGGAGGCTCTGAAGTCCAAAGAAGCTACAAAGAAGCAGCTAATGACCTACCGCACTCGAGGCAGCGCTTATTGCTGGGATCTGCTTCCTTCAGGCGCTGAAAGGCAGCAGCTGTATCGGGATCCATGATGAACTGGAACGGACGGAGGAGGGAGACACAGCAACGGGGAGAATAAGAGACTGCGTCTACTTAAACCAAATGTATAAGTCTATTTGCCTCAAAAATAACGTGTACTACTCTGGAAATGCGGGAGTCGCCGCCCTTGCTAACTGGTGAAACAGCGAAGAACTTGAATTCACCACGAGCCTCATGCCAACGGCCGTTCGCCCCCTCCCGTCAGCGGAAGGCGCACCAAAAACGATGGAAACAGCAAGAAAATGGAAGAAAAGAAGGAAAAGAACGGAAAATGCAAAAAAAGACAGAGTAAACGCATGCAGTCGTCCCAGCAGGCAGCGCCAGCAAGTAATGGACCGTCTCCAGTTCTCTGCTCTCTTTAAAGCCCCAACACATTCATTTGAAACCCAGAATGTATTGTTATTCCCGCGAGCTGCACATTTATTCGCCTAGGCGGCAACCCAAAGAAGAATAGCCGGACTTCTGCACACGCAGCAGGAACCAGCAGAAGCTGCTGGCTGCTCTACCAGCAACTTTACAGCGTGTGGGCTGCAGGCAGATCGTAAGCGAAGAAATTAACTTATTCGAAGTTAAATAAAATGCTGTAGAGAACAAAGGCTTCTCGCAAAGGCGTAAACTCGGGGTTCCCTGGCGTCTCGTCTTGAGGCTTCTCACGTCCGCACACATTACTAAGAAGTCAGCAAAAGCCAGCTAATTAAGTCACGGCATTTCAGCTGCGGAAGCTGGTACTAGAGACGCGTTTGTTTTGCCTCCAAAGTTACCCAGGCGCAAGTAAAGAGGCTGAGAAGAATTCCGCCATGTACGCTACACGGAAGCTGAGAAGCTACATGCTGCATGCGGGGAGATAAGGCCTTTAGCGCCAATGGACTATTTCTACAGAATTGCATTTGCCTCTTGGCTTTGGTACTCTCAGGTCCTGCATGTGCGCACAGCGATTACTGTGGCGAATACAATGTTTTCAAGTGCAAAAGTGCCGTGAATAATTTAAAGAACTGTATTGGGAAAAAGCTGCTAAAGTGGCAGTAAGATGCATAAGGGGCGGCCACACATACAAATTGGTGCTCTTCTCGCCCGATAATGCACAATATCAGTGTACTGAACAGAGCAGAGTGCAGATGCGTGAATAGCCATTGGGCAACACGCGCACTGAAGAAATGGGCAATCTCTGGCTGCTCAGCAGCTCATCGAGTCTTGTCCTTCAAACTGCAAAAGATCATCAAAGAAAGGTGAATCGCTGCCGCTGACGGGCAATTCCAGTGGCCCGATGGCGCCTGCAGCTACCCCTACTTGGCAGCCAAAGCCAGCAGGAACCACTGGTGCATTTGTGGAAGCGAAAATTATGTCGTCGTCTAAGACGCGATGGGATGAAGGATACTCATCGCGCAGCTGCAGAGAAATGTTGCTCCTCGGCGACTCCTCGGAGGCAAAGTCTTCTAGTTCTCTCTTCTCCACGTTCTGCCTTTCTTTTTGGATTGTGGGAGACAGCCGCGAGAGCTCAACCTCCATGCTTTCGGTGGTTGTTGCTTTGAAACGAGTCAATCGCTGCGCATTTAGCAGAACCAATAAGCAGCTGCCAGCCATTGCTGCTGCTGCCGCTGCAGGATGAACAGACACCGTGGGGTAAGCCACCCCAGCAGCAAGAGGCACAGCAACCAAATTGAAGGCACAGGCCCAAAGGAAATTCCTGCAGAGCAAGCGAAGCACAGAACAATCCAGGCAGCTTGGTCTTTAGTACCGGAACACACTTTGCATGTGTTTCGCTTCAGTCTGGTCTGCCTCCGCGACAGCTTTTCAGCAACCACGCGACAGAATGCGAAATCCAGTGTGAGCAAAAACTATGGCTCGTTGGAGGGTTCTACGAGCATCGGACGCCTTTCCAGAGCCCGTTTTGTTTTTCCCCTCAGGAATTTCATGGGAGAAACAAAATTTTGCCAAATAGCGGTGGCGTGTCCTCCTTACCAGCGAATAATACTCTGAGTCTGCCGCGCTATTCTGAAGAGGTCCACAAGCTCTGTCCAGCTTTGGCCTCCCACAGCTACGGCAGCAGCAGCCAGCGGCAACGCATTGCCAACACCAAAAGCCACACCAAGGGCTGCCTCAGCCAGAGCTGGCGAGTCGTTCAAGCCGTCTCCTACCATGCAGCAGATAGGCGGCTTTTTGCCTTGACGAGTGATCAAAGAAAGGTACGGTGAGCTGCTATTGCGCCTAATGCCACTGCTGGCTGTGCTGCTGCTGCTGTAGGCCGTGCTGTCTGGTGTGGCTCCCGAAGTATCCTCAGATACGAGAGAGCGCAGAAAACTCACTTTACCCTCCGGAGTCTGCTGGGCCATGACACAAGACTCGGGAATTTCGAGGGCAGCGGCAACGCGAGCTGCTGTCCTGGGGTTGTCACCAGTGCACATAAACACTTTGAACCCCATGCACTGGCGCAAGTAGTCCACTGCAACTTTCGTTTCCCGCTCAACTTCGTCCTGAAGAGCGACGGAACCAAGCCACACCCACTCCAGCTGCGCATCCGGCGAGGCAGCAGAAGAAACAGAAGCGTGCAAGTTGACCACGGGCCCGTTGTGACTCTCGTGCCAAGATGTCCACTCCTGTGGCAGAAGTGTCACAGAGCAGCATAGCGGCACAACCCGATAGCTCTCTGCGATTTCGTACTTGTAGTTAGGCTTTGGGTGAAAGTTAATACATGTTCATGCCCTGTGCAAAGCGGTTCTTTTTTAATGGTCTAAACGCTGCGCAACAGAGCAATAGTGGGAGCCCAGCTCCAAAGGAAAGACATTGATGAGACGCACCTCAAGCTGAAAGACGTCCGCACTGCTTATTCCCTTTGTCTGACACTGCTGGGACTGCCGGCCGTCAGACTCGCCTACGCCAGAGAAGAGCACAATTTCAACACATGTGAAGGCCCGGGCAGCTCGTGTGACCAGTAAAGCCCCCTATAATAACTCCTATGGAAACTTTCTCTGGCAGCTCTAAAAATCATGTCCTCACTGTCTTCCGGAGAAGCTGCGGCCACCCGCAAACGCAGAAACAGTCCTTCAGTAATTGGCATGGAACCTTCGATGCCCCTCTGTAGCATGAGCACATTCTCGCAAGGCCGCGGCGGCGGGTATTGCGCATTTGGTTCTTCCAGTTTCTCAATAATGTTTTTAACAGCGCGAATTCCTTCTGCTTCCCCACTGTTGTACCGCCGCCGCCACCTATCGTAGGCGCCCACCAAGGCCAACCCCACCGCATGACTACTCCCTTGCTCCAGACAGCTCAAGGCCCACAAAAAGCAGCCCGCTTCAAGTTCGTCTGCTGTTGATTCCAGCATCTGGTAATTGGCATGAGCGCCTGGGCTGCTGCCCATGTCAGCCAACTCCTGCTGCTGTTTTCTTAAAAGATCCGCGCAGCAGTTCCCGCTGGCGTCATTTGAGCACACTGTGCTGGAGCTTCTGCCGGTGCATTTTTCTGAGCGTTTTGAGGGCAATTCCCACAAGTGGCTGAATGTGAAAAATGCAAGGCCCCCCTCACAAGACGTTGCAGCTGCGCTGCTGCTACACTCCTGCCTCCCTGTTTGACTTCCGCTTTCGCTGTCGTTAGGCAGGGTCTGGCAAGCGGGTAATAGCTTGAGTTCTGAATCCCCTGCTGCATCTATTGAAGAAGTCGGCGCTTCCTCGACAGTAATATCTGAGGTGATGGATCCATGGAGGGTGTCCGATGGGGACATGTTTTCTGTGCACCTCGTGTTATTGCTGATGCTGCTGCTGCAGCAAGAGGGACGCTTCAGTAATTCAGTAGAGACCGCACCGCATCCAGTATAGTCGGAAGCTTCACTTTCAAGCTTATTGCGGTGCAACGATGTGGGGGAAATTCTCATTTGTTTCATAACAGGAAGCAGAAACTCCCGTAGCCTCTGGGAGTGGAAAACGCACGCAGCAGCCTGCAATACAGACACAGAACTACAAGTGGCGTGGCCTCACCAAACTATTCCGCAACAAGAAATGCTTATAGAATGCCGCCTTTCCAAACGCTTTATTGCCCTGCATGCTGCTGGGAGAGTTTGACATGTAAAATATTGGCTGTACAATCAGGCGAATATTTTTTGTGTATGCGAGCTAGCCGCCCCCTCTCTCTTCTCTTGTTCGTTCTATTAAGGTTTGCGGCTTCGGTGGTTCGGCTCATTCACAGGTGGTGTTCACAGGTGGTTTCACAAGGCGCACACGCAGTTCACCGGTGGTCAGGGTTCCGGTCTTGTCAACGACGAGGAGGCTCGCCCTTGCTGCTGTTTCCAGTGATTTCCCAGTCTTAAAAAACACACCTCGTGCTGCAGCAGCGGCAGTTGCCGCAGCCACAGCAGCAGGAGCAGCGAGCCCAATGGCACAAGGACAAGCGGCGCAGCATACAGCTACTCCAAATCGCAAAGCAAATAACAAGCTGTCCCACGTCACCACCCACCCCGAGAGACGGCAGGCCGCAGCAGCAGCTGCTGCTGCTGCATGATCATCCACTGAAGTGGCGTCCACGATTGAGACGGACGGTGGCGGGAGACTGCCCGAAGCCCTCAAAAAGTTGCTATAAGATTCAATGTGCTGTTGACGCTGCTGCTCCAGGTGCAGCCTCTGCAGCATCAGGCTCTGCTGTCTGGATGATATGCCCTCGCTCTGCTCTAGCTCAATTAGGCGTTGCTTCATCTGCTGGAGAGGAGATAGAGGAAGTGTGTCAGCTGCACCGAACACTTTGATTGTCCAAGAAATGACAGCAACAGTAGTTATGCACAGCACGACGGGAATAAAGTAAGCAGCGAATGTCTCTGCCGCTTTCTGAAGAGGCGGTTGCTGCTGCTGGCCGATGTTTACCAAGCGCAGCAGCGTTTGCAGCACTGACGCATCCCCGATCTGCTTCCGCAGAAGCAGTCACAGGTCACAGACACTCGAAATTTTATTAGGTGCTCGGCGGCGTTTTCCTTTTTGTTAGCATTACCCACTACGCACCTTCTGCAGCTTTTTCAGCAATGTATTTCCACCCACTGCTTAGGAAGCAGCCTCTACTATGGATTTTTCGTGCAGACATTTTTTGTGCTTTCTGATTCCCGTTCCGATTGCTCACCACCTCTACTTTGATGTAAGCGTCGGCATGAGAAGCATTTCTGCTGCCTCCGATGACCCGCTGACCAGCCAGCTTTGCCACGCCTCGTCCTTCTCCTGAAACGAGTCTCTCGTCGACATGCAACACTTCAGGGGCCTAAAAGAGCGAACAAGGAAGCAAAGGGATGCAGCAACTGCATTCCACAGCTGCTTTCTCTGGCTGTTTCGAAGATGAGTTTGAGGGCTGGAAGGGAATGATTAAGCCCCGCGTGCGGCCCTGTATCTCTTGCAGCACGAGAATATCTGTATAAGCAAGCATAGTGAACCTAATATGGTGTTTGAAAAAAACAAAAGGAATGTACTTGCCAGTAAAATGCCATCGGCCGGCAACACTTCGTGAGGAGGGACTCGCACAACGTCCCCCATCTGCAACAAGTCCGTATTGATCATGACTTCATCCGGAAAGCCTTCTGCACCCTCGCTTTCTGAAGCATTTGTTGCTTCTCCAGTTCCCTCCGTCTGGAGGCCGCGCGGCTTGTTCTCAGAAGTCAGCTCAACCTCGTCATCAAAGCTCAAGGGACCTGCCTGTGTAAGAGGGTTGTACTTATGGACGGGATGCTGGAAGGTAAGGAGAAAAGCAAGCCTCTGCCACCAACTGAGAGACGGGGGTTGTTGCATGACATCACCGTTGCAATCCGTGGACAGTCGTGACAATTTCACAATGTCACTGGGGCCGGCGCTATCTTCACCTTCTGTGCATGAAGCCCACTGATCCACTTTCAATAAATAGCTGGCAACTGCGCTGTCTTTTGACCGAAGCACCAGGTGCACACTCCGGGTTTTCAGGCTGTGGAGGCTGCACAACCAGACGAACAATCAGTAGCACAAAGAGAGGGTCCCTGCTTGGCAAGACTGCCTTTCCTCGGGGAGCGCGAGCCCTGCAGCCTATGGATAAGACGGCTGCGCGCACCTGTGCAATTGCTTCAGTATCCGTGCCTTGGCTCTCAGCTGCAGCACCTGCCGCAAAACAGCCACTGCACATAAAGAAAAAACTCTTCTTTCCCCTGACTGCAGCGCCATCGTTCGATGACTTTGACAAACGGCAACTTCACAGGCTGGCCGTTTTGTAGCATTCGTGGCCTTCCGGCGCTATGAAGTTCCTCGACATGAAATGTGCAGTCCAAAAGAACCTTACGAAATCACGCCCGAGTGCTTTTTCTGACCTTTCCGAATAGAACGACGCACACAAGCATTGCGCATGTGTCCAAGAAGACCTGGGGCTCGGCGTCTTCTATGATCTCATAGAAGGGGCTTTTCGCGAAGTCTGCACTGCTGTTGGGTACGTGGTTCGCTGCAGCAGCAGCACCCCCTGCTGCCAGAAGCGGCTGGCATCCTACGACTGTTGCTGCTAACTGTATGCATGAAAGGACGGAATAAAAATACGCCATGTTGCTGCCAAGAGATACGAGGAGATCCATGCTGAAATGTCCATGCCGTAAACCCTGCAACAAAAATGCGGACTCGCATCATCGACGCCAGCAAAGCTACACCCTAAACAGAATACCCAAAAGCGTGAATTCGCACTCCCGAAAGCCAAATACCCTTCGCACAGAGGTAGGACCATTTTTCCTTATGAAGATATGAATCACATTGAGAGTCACGCCTACAGCTGATTCAGAGCCGTAGTTCGTTGCAAAAAGAATTATTGCAGAAAGTTAATGCCACCTTTGTGAGTTTGGCTAAAGCCGCTGTTGTAGAATATGTGTGTTTTTACCTTCAAGGCTGATAGATGGAAGCTACGGCCACCATAAAATTGGACCGGCGTACAGAGCAGCAGCAGCAAGAATGTCGAGACACGTATTCCGGGAACAAATTCGCTCCTTTAAACAGAAGGAAATGGCACAAAAATGTTGTGTGGAGCTATCCAATGAGCTTCTAGTCAGTATTAATGAAGAACTGGCGACCTAGAAGCTTTTTTCTTTTCAGTGCAACGTTCTACTTCTGGCAGTGCTGGTCAGCTCCCACAAAGCACTTTTCTTTCCTCTCGCTTTGGACTAGCCTGCCACTTGTCACTAGTATATGTAATGGCTTTGATGGCTCTTACGATAGAGATGTTGGCAGACTGTGGGTTCTGGCCATGATAGACAAGCAGACCACAGCGAGAGCAGGGAACAACGATAGTAAAAGAGAGCTGAGGAGAGTCTTCTGGTTTCCCAGCACGGCATCTTTCTGAATCACAAGTCCCACAAAACCATTTTAAAATGCATGTGTCAAGCATCCTTTACTGAGAGCCCCACATCATGGTGAGGACAAGGTGGCATCGATTGTGAACGACCCTTGCCTGCGTTTCGAGGGGGTCCTCGGCTAGCAAAGAAGGATTAAAGCCTCGACGCATCAACTTGGTGAAAAGATCACGAACTCCCACTATGTTGGGCTTGTAGGTCACTATCAGCTGCTTTGCACCATTCACATTGAAGCCATTTATGGGGGTCACAGCGCAGCCCAACACTCCGTTGATGCTCTCCAAAGAACTGCAGGCAGACTCGGCCGACAATTCTTCACTTTCATGTATAGCGAGACGAACGGTTGCCTTGGACTTGTTTACAAGATCCGAATAGTCATAGTTGCCAGCCGCTGTCTTTTGGAACGCCATTGGTGACGCCGCAGTCTGCCTATCCTCAGGGTCTGCTGAAATAGCTTGCTGTCGAGGCAAGGGGTCTCCCAACTCACTTTTCTGGACCCTGATTGACGGATCTGCCCAGTCCGCTGTTGTTCTGCTGTCATCGCCAGACGGGTCGCTTGGCGTAGAAGCAAATATTTGGAGGACTTCAGCCTCGAAGCCCAGGCTCTGGATGACCCCACAGAGTTCTTCTGGGGCTATGATGTCGCTGTGGTAAGCAACCCTTGCTGTTTCTCTTAATACGTCCACATTTGCCTGCAGAACACCGGGTTTTTTTGTTAGCGCGCCATGAACTGCTCCAGTGCAAGCGGTACACGTCATGCCGCCGACCAGTAGCTCACACACCGACACGGGCGGCATCAAACGTAAATGGTTTTCCGTGTTCAACGCAAACCAAATTTTATTACGACCAACACAACGTCGAGCGAAATGTCCAGACGCTCTTTGCGTCCCGTTATCCGTCGTCGTGCCCTGTCGGTCTGAATTCGTCTTGCTTGTCGTGTCTTTCCTCGCTTAGCTGAGGTCTTTTGGCCGAGCTTCCTTCTACAACTTTCTAATTTATTTTTAAATAAATTAAATGACATGTATTCGCATCAGGATTGGTTAGACACGGATAGGCTTTGCAGGTGACCGAACCAGTAATGGGTGACCCTGGCCAAAACCAGAGCAGACGAGCACGAGCGACGAGCTGCGCAAATTATCCTCAGACTTTCTAGGATTACATCTTAATTTTCTTTCAAAGGCATGCCGATGGGTAAAGATCTTGTTTGATGATGATGGTGAGGCTGTATTCATATATTCAGGCTATCCTGCTTGGTTGACCACCGCCCACAGCCTACCATTGCGTCTAGCGCACTAGAGGTCGTTAATTTGTGTGGACAATTAAAATAAAAAACTCTCATATTCTTTATGATTAGCTTGATATTCGCGACACGAGACGGCAACAATCCAGTGTTTCCGCAATGGCTGTCTTGTACCCTGGGCAGCTTGTAGGGCACACGGTCGAAATCCAGATGCTGCGTTAAGAGGATGCCCCGTTGTCACACTGTTGTATTGAAGCCCGTTCAACGAAATGGCCATGGGCATGTATGGGCAACTGAGTGCATCTGCTGAGCTGCATCGCAGCTGCACTTAGCACCAGCCCACAAAATGATCGGGCTTGCTTTGATAGTCAATAAAATAGTCTACCATCTAGTTGTCACTTACAGACGCTTCACACCCACAAACAGCACTCTTTCGGAAAGCTCTATGCAGAAACAGAGAGTTGGAGCTCAACATTATACTACAGGAGTGAGTGTTTGTCTATAGACGTTAGCAGCAACTCACTCGGCGGTGCTCTGTAATGTGCTAGGCCAGTATCATCTGCTATCAACTTAAGTCTATTACTACATTTTCCTGTGGTTGTGAGGTTTATCCAGACCTGTGGCTCCACTTTGAAAACCCAAGTGCCAAAAATTGTGGCGACTGGGGACTCTTAGGTATATGGACATGGTATGTATATTCAGCGTTGCCGCGATGTTCTGCAAACCGTCCCACCAATCTTATGATACATCTGTGAGTGCTTAACACTGGATACAGGCGTATATTTCCAGACAGTGATGACCACATCCCCCGTATGGTCTAATTCTTAGAACAATGAGTTATTCTGGATGTTGTATGCAGACTTCGAACTGATCAGAGCTCCAGCAACTGGGGAGGAGGAAAGCGCGCTTTCGTTGGTATATGCACTCAGCTTTTGAGCCATAGACAGCGTGCTTGTCATGTACTTCTCATTTGTCCCGCCATCACGGAAGGAAAATGCGGTGTCATTGGCAGGTACACTCAGCTTTTGAGTCATAGGATACTTGCTTTTCATATGTTTAGATTTGTGTGTCGCTCACACCCTGTCTTTGTTGCGCTGGTCTCCCAAAAAGTGAGGAGCAAGAATTACCATTTCGCTCATTGAGCTTCCTACAGCTCGTATTCGCTTTAATTCTGCATCCGACGCTTTGAGCATGAAAATAATGGGAAAATCTTACAAAACACTGCACAGTTGGGCAATCATTGCACTGAGTTGCAGTTTTTGTGAGCTTTCAATCCACTTGCTTTCCCAGCCCGCGCAGAACGGGCAGCGCTCTCTTAGCGTGCTTCCTGGGAACAAGACTGTTCCAACAAGCTTCAAGTAAGATTATGCATATTCATGCTAGAACAAACCTAGTGGCTTGGCGTTCAGCGCTGTGGTGCAACTTTCGCCCGCAGAAACTGGAGTGTAGTAAGGCAAAGCATAAGGGCCGGTTATCAATGCGCTCATGAAAGAGCACCTTTTGAACAAAGCGCTTTCCGAGCTAAATACACAGTCATTGTGCTTTTGAGTTTAAGCTCTCTAGTATCAAAGCATGTTAGAAATTAGACTTGGTGCCCTGTATGTTGCTCGGGGCTTACCAGCCGAGGCGGTCCAGGCGGTCTCCCACTGGCGGTTAGTCCTGCCTGTCCATAGGGCCAATCAATAAGCACACCGAATCATTGCGGCACCCGTTTTAATGTGTTTTATTGTTGCTTTGGAATCACGAAAGGTTCAATTGGACGCTCTTTTTTTTCCTGAAAGCACATGGCCGAGATGCACAGGATCTGTGGGTCGCCTAGAGAGCGTTATCGACCGCGAAGAGAAATCCAGGGATAGCTTTGTCCAATTTTTTAATTAGCTTTACTCCAGTTTAGTAAGTTGAATAGGCTTCCACTAGAATGACGAGAAACGACTCATCGGCACTCTCGTCTAGAGTTGCCAATGGACAATGCCGGTCCGTTAGTCACTAGATGCGGAACAGACCTAGGAAAGGCGCATGACTAGCAGTTGGCGCACTGGTGATCCCACCTTATAGCCCCAACAGGAGCATTTTAAAGTGGGGTCTAACCGTCTGACAGCTGTGGAATTTTGCTGTGGAGATTTCTACACTGTTTGCATCTCCCACGGTGATAGGATATGGTAATTCAGGTTTCCCACTGCATACCAAAGTATGCCCTGTAAACAAAGCTCGGATGGCCACGAGCACGTGAAAGAAGAGTAAACGAGGTCGAAGCACAACAGGTAGGTTAACAGTGACGCCGCCGCTGCTCCTCCCGAACATTTTACTTTGGCCAGTAGAATGGAGAAACTACGACAGCTTGGGAGTAGCTACTTTAATGCTGGAATTCCACTAGTTGGTGAGCATAGTTCCCAATGGGGAATAAATGCTGCTGGACACAGCTATGCTGTAGATGCAGCCTTTTATGGAGCTCGCCGAGGTAGGAGGCTCTCAAGCGTTCATCAAGCAGGAAGTGGCCAAATGGTGCTGCAATCCTATGATGAGGAACAAAATAAGACATCTACACTGCAAGTAGACGAAATCTGCTACACAAGAGGCATCGATGGGATTGTGAACCCCTACACAGGAGAGGTAAGCCGTTCTCCGTGCACCATCGCGCCAGCAATCACATTTTTTGCTTTTTATCTTGCTCCCCTCCGTTGCTCCAGTATAGCGGCAGTTGAAGACGAACAGTCTCACTATCCTTTGTTCACAGCTTCTCGCACTGTCAATAAGGATTTCTCATGCCGTACTGCATAATTAGTTTGCATTCGATGAATTTGTGTCAAGGATGATAAACTGGCACGCAAGTAGCTTGCCTAGAGTACATGCGCTACATGCCGTGCTACCTTTGCTCTGTTGACCGCGCGACGCTCAGTTTTTAGACAATGGTCGTTCGACTGAGGAAATCTGGGAAGAAATGAAGGCGAAAAGCCTTGCGCCTGGACGTGCGAAGGCACTGGAAAGTTTTTCGGCAATGGTTGAAGACGGTCAATTCGACATGTCCATTGTCCGCGATAACTTCCCCGTCGCTGCAGCAATTTATATTGTCGCTGGCGTGCTGATCTTGCTATTTTTGCTGTTTTGTTTGGGACCATTGGCATGCTGTTCGTGCTGTCGGCGTTGCTGCTGTTGCGTTCGCCGAAGATCACATAAGACGCGGAGTCGGACTATGTGGTACATCATATTTGGCACATGCTTTGCACTCATTGCTGTTGGGATGGCAATTGCAGGATATCGAGTCGACAAGAAAGTCTTGGACGAAACCACAGCCGTTGTTTGTGCTGGAGGCCGGTCTGTGGATGAGCTGCTTTACGGAACTCGCATCGAGGGCACAGACACAGAGCGACAAAGCAGACAGACATTCGGGGGAATAAAGAATATTATGGATGGAACACAAAGGCTGTTAGATGCTGCTGATGGGGATAATCCAGACAATTTTGTTAGCCACGTAAAGCGGAAAATTCTTGCAGCTGTAGATATAGCTGCTGACAAGGCACAGTTTGGAAATGCAGCAGACGCTTCGCTGAAAAATATTGAGGAAACTACGAATATTGTTGGCAAGGCCTCTCACAGGAACATTTTTGTTGATGAGAAATCTACAACTATTACTCCGCTCCTAGAAAGCATTAAGACACAACTACAAAATGTAGACATTGCGACTGATATATCTGACGCCTTCGAAAGCATATCGCTCCCTTCAGTGGATCGCAGCGGCTTAGCTGAAGGGGAAAAGGTGATAGAGACGCTGTCGGACATGACGAATTCGGTTGGAGATGCATCGCACTGGGCTGAATATGGCATACACGTTTTGGACGCATTGTTCCTGAGCATAAGCGTGGTTTCCGGCGGGCTGGCAATTCTGGCTGTGATTTTCCTTGTTTGGACGCTCTACAGGCCAAATAAGTGCCTTAGAAGGGGTTTAGTCTTCATGAGTGTTGTACTGACGCTTTTGGCCGCGTTGACCTGTATACTTGTTGCAGTGGCGTCCGTTTTGCACAAAGTTGGGATCCCGGTGTGCGATTACGCTACAGTACGCTTCATGGATGTAAATAGCTCTCACATTCTTGCTAAACTGTATGGTGAGGACAGTGAAATTTTTGAAGTAGCCAAAATATGCCTATCGGCAACTGGTAGTGGAGAGCTCCTCCAGAACGAGGACGGTTCAAACCAAATAGACGAACTTGTGGAAACATTGGAATCTAAGAGGAAGGAAATATGCGATTCGATTCCGGAGCCGGACGACACTGACTTCAATTTCCTCGGTAGGGAGGTTTTCGCAAACTTAGCCGAAGAAACAAATACTCTGGCTTGGCCTGATTTAATCAAAGCAGCCGCATGATCTTCCGGAGAATTCATAATGTTTTCCTATTATATACTTATGTTGCGTGCCTGTCATGGTATTCATCAGACTTTAAAAACCTTGATGAGGATGCAAGGCACCAGAGTTGGGCAGTATTATCGACGGAGACTAACGTCGGAACTTTTAAGGAAATTATCGAGGTAAGATATTTATACATAGACGAGAAAACAATGAGGCTGCGGCGCCTTCAGCGTCCTTAGCTGCTTCGCAGTTTGGCTTATTGTTTTGTAGAAACAAAAAAAGGGGGAGCAGTAACCGGAGCAAAGATCGCCTTTGAGTACTTTTGAACCGGATGTTTTTGCTTCTGCAGAGCGGTATCCAAGATTTAGATTCCACAGTGACAATATCCGGCTCTAAGAAAAAAATATATGGTATGGAAAGTGCTAGAAGCGCAATCAGACCTTGGAGAATCAGCATCAGCAACGCATCAAACCCGGGGAGCTTGATTATCACAAGCCAGGCACCTACTGAGGAACAACTTGACCAGTGGGCTACAGAGTGCAACAAAGCTAAGGTTAGCCACACCTATACAGTTTCTTCCGGGGACGCTGAGGCAAGTA